AGCCTGGACATCAGCTCCGCAAAAGAAACGTGTGACTCGTCCAGTGATGCGGGGCCCTGGGAGGTCCCTGCGATGTCGGGAGAGGTAGAATCGACGTCCGAGTCATCAGAGTCTGCGCCATAGTACAGAGGGGCCGAAGAAGAAGACTCCACTGGCGAAGTGGACCGGCTGCTTTCATCCTGGGGTACCGGGGACGTGCACCTTGGATCCAGAGGCAGCGGGTGATCATGAGAGCGTGGTGGGGACCGATCCCTCGGCACGGGATAGTACCCAGTCAAGTATGGCTCGCCCCAAGATGGGTAGTAGGAGCGACGCCAGTCCTCGAATCGCTCGGATCGCTGCTCCCTGGAGCGGCTCCGGCGGGCCCTGGGCGGGGATTCGACGACATCCACCTCCAGTGTGGCCATGGGCATAGGCGTTGGTGACCTAGCCCTGGGGGAGAGTCCTGAATCTCTCCGTCAGAGATCGAGCCCCGCTGGAGAGATGGAAGCAGTTCGGTCGGGGGGTCAGCCACATGACAGGGAGACCCTTGAGGGGTAACCCTCATGGCTGCCTGGAGCGCCGGCTCGGGTGGGGTCAGTACGGTGGTTGGCGCTGGTACCGATGCTGCCGTCGAACCCGAGACATGGTGTCAGGGTCGGTCTAGATCCTTCACCTTTCGGGCCGGCTTAGAGGGCTTCTCTTTCCTGGCCTTTTTGGCCGATTTGTCAGCATCGGCGTGCTTGCGCTTCTTGCTTTTCTTTTTGGGAGAAGCTGGTGGGGACCTCAAAGTAGAGGCACCTTCGTCCGACGGGCGGGACCACCGCAGCCGGGCCAGGCTTCGGAGCGGCGACCAGTGGGTCGCACTGCATAAGAGCCAGATCCCACAGGAGCCTTCGGAGGTGGTTCTCCCAATTTTTTCTGGCCTGCTTGGAGAAGGCCAGACAGTGGGAGCACCTGTCGGTCCTATGCCCCTCCCCCAAGCAGAGGAGGCATAGGTCGTGTGGGTCAGATGGTGACATCTTCAACCCGCACTCCGCACATTTGCGGAAGGCCGCTCGCTGCGCCATCACAAGAAGAAGAAGAAAAAGGGAGACAGTGCAGAGGGTAAGAATATATTTTTGGGTTTTTTTTTTTTTTTTAGAAGAAGAAAATAGAATGGTAGAACGATAGAACTGTAGAATAACTAGAGCTAAGAAGAACTATCAGGGATATAAAACTGGGAGTAAAAGGAGAAAAAACAGGCTACGAGTAACGATCAAAGCGATGGTCGAAAGCGGCACGAGGCACAGCGAACGGCGGTCTCAAAGACTGAACAAAATGGCGGACGCTCCGCTCTTTATAGGCTGTGGGGGAGGGGGAGCGGAGCTTTTTCCTGCCAAAATACACCATTAGCTTGTAATCTTCTGGCCAAAGGCACTGCGCAGGTGCAGCACCCATATGTGTGATGCACAGAGGCCACGACGAAGAACAACGCAGACAAGAGGATACTGGTACATGAATAACTGTGGCCAAGGTCTGCCTGTCCAGATAGGGATGTAACTGGTAAAGCAGCTTCAGCTGATAAAAGGTGCACCCGCCCACCAAGTTGGCCTTCTTCAAGAGTGATCTAATTACAGTGTCTTCAATAAGGCTGGGGCCACTCCCTCTCCATACATATGAAATTGTGAAATGGATATATAAACACAGATATTTGTGAAGAAAAAAAAACAATTTTATGTTACGGAAGTAAAAAAAAAAATCAACTATAAACTTTTCAGAATTTGTTGTTCACAGTTAACAATGCTTTAAATCATTACAGAATTCTGTCTTTGTAAAAGACAGATGTGCAACACAACCCTAAACATAATTACTTTCAAGAAAGCTCCACAACATTCAATACTCCTTACTGCGAAGTATATTTTCCTAGAACTTCAGGCCTAATTATCTAAACTTCAATACAAAATAAAATTTAAGAGCAATTTTAATTCTGCTTTACATACAAATCTCAACAAGGCTTAATTATGAAACAGCTAAAGAGCAGCTAAAGATACAATCAAAATAATGATAGGATAAAAAAGGATTTTCAAATGAGATTATAGTTTTCTTGAGTTTTGTTCATTTGTGAGGCATCCAATTATCATATGGCCGGTTCCTACATGATAATGCACTGTAAATTATACCTAGAGACTATAATCTACATACAGTGTACACAGTACATGTTTTGATATGAGGAAAAAACTTGCTTCCCATTATACACATGAGAACTCTGTTAGAAAATTCTCATGGCTGAAGTTTCCCATCCTCCTGATTCATGGGTGAGTACTGCTTCCACCACTGGCCTGTTTGTTTCTGTTGCCTCTACATTAAAGGCCCCTATATTTCACTTTTTCTGGAAAGACCTTTGCTCAATCTCTTCCCATTTCTTTCAGGGAAGCAGCTGTTGAAAGCACTTTGTCAGTTTCAATGTATATCAGAATTTGTAGAAGTGCCAAGACCATTCAAGAATTTACCCTGTAACAGGAACATAAAACTGTTCCAGAGATGTTGCCAGAAGGTTGTGTGTGCACACGTACGTATATAGTTTCTAAAAGAGGGTGTTCTATGATTCATTTGCTATATCTGTTTCTCAAGAATTTAATCTGGCAACGCTAGGAAAGGGTCTTATAGTTTCATCCATCACAGCAAGCAAGCATCAAGAGAAGAAATTTGTATTCATACAGGGCTCTAACTGACAGAAAGATCTAAAAATGCTTTTAATGTTCAATTGCATAGATTATTGGGAGGAAACCATTTGTGCCATGTTCCATCAGAACATTTAATTTAATGACAGTGACTGGAATCTCCAACTGGTGATATGAAAGCCTGGAAAAACAAAATAAACAAGCAAACAAATAATGCAAAATGACATATTCAGAAAGACCTGAAAAAGGGAGGGCCCTGAATCTTTCTGGGAAAAATATTACTTTTCTTTCGAAGAAAAATTATTGAATTATTTCAATGTTTTCAAATAGGACTTTGTATCTCTATGACCCCAACAAAAAATGAAATTCACTGAAAAATATCTAGCCAAATTAGTAGGGCAGATAAAACTGTACACAGAGTAGAATGAAAACACTTCCAAAGTCCAAGTTTACACATAAAAATGGCAACAACTGGGGACATTCCTATGACATGTCACCAAAATTAAATACTAGTGCCAATACACATCCAATGCTCAGTGTTCATTTCATGAAGTCCTATTCATTTTAAATAAGTGTGTAGAACCTCTTTCAAGCTCAAGACCCAAATTCAATTTAGGGGAAATCTTTGGGGGCTGAAAGCATATTTTAGTGTAAAGCTCTTTCAGTCAATAACTAAGCCTTGAGAGAGGCATTTCAACTTTTCAGAACTGTGGAAAAACCCATGCAAAGGCTGGGAAACCACCAAATGACTCAGGGGTGAAGACGTAATGAAGAAAAGCAGGAACCACATGGTGCCACAGTGATGGTGTCATGTCCACCTAGAGATTTGCAAAGAGCTAGACTGGACCACACTGAGGTTCAACTGAGTTTCAACATCCTTGATAAAGAACAACACAAAAGAAGTGTACCAAACCTAGAAACTGGCCACACACTAACTGAGCCCTTTCCCACAATAAACAAATGGGCAACATTACTGTTGATTCTTTATCCTAGTCAAGAAACTCAGATGGACAACAGCAATAGTATGAGTTGTTAGGAATCATGGAGCATTAGCCACACTTGTATTTTACTTATTCATTTATTACTTTTATAAACCACCCCACAGCCCATAAAGCTGTCTGGGAGGTGTACAAAATAAAAGAGAATGAACATCATTAACCAATAATACAACCAATATTAAGAGTAAAAACAGAATACATGGAAATTGGCAACTCAGCAATGCTATAACAGTGATAATACAATTTATAACACAATAGCAGCTTGAAAACATCAGTGGAAACAATATTAAAACCAATCTTTAATTAATCATTAAATCATCTGGCAAATAAAAAAGTTTTATCTGGTGCCAGAAGGAGATCCAGGACAGTGCCAGGCAAATCTCCTTGGGGAGCAAGTTCCACAGGCAGGGTGTAACCACAGAGGGTTACCTTGTTGACTTGCTATATTCAGTAGAAAACTATCTGATTGGTAAGAGGCATTGGTGTTGGTTTCTCTGGCTAGCAGTGTCAGGCCAGTATTTATTTCATTTGCTTCCATTATGTTTCTACACCACACAGTAGCCATAACTGTGTAGGCAGTTCACAAGAATTAATACCATAAAATACATGATAGAATATAAGAGTTTTCAAGCTTTAAAAAGATAGCACAAAATAAAAATAATACCCAAAATAAAAGACTACTAAAATGCCTGGGAAAATAAGTAGTTCTTCACCTGGCACTGAAAAAAGCATCATGTAGGGCATCAGCATCTTAGCCAAGGAGCCTTTTATTTGTGCATTTCTTTATTTTATTTGTACCCTACTTTTCTACCAAAAATGTTATTCAAGATGACTTTCCTCAATATCAAGGGCCTGCTTTTCATGCTCTGCTGCCACTGTGGAAGCAGGTACAGTCCAGCTTTTTCCTGTGTCTGTGGGGCAATATGAGAGGCGCACACGACAACTCCTTTCCATACAAGAATTGCATACAAGAATTGCCCTACTTTCTGGAAAGAACATCTGACATGGAAGGAATGAGGCTGCACTGGCTTGCAGGTCACTAATGTAAGAAGAGGGCCTAAGTGAAGGAGCAATTCAGCTTATCATCAAAATGCAGTTCTGTACAAATACCACTTCTATCCTTCCCCCCCACCAAAAAAAGTCTGCAGTATTTAAATTGATGATACATACAAGGTACAAGATACAAGCAAAGGGAAAAATGGATTTCTCCTGTCCCTGGTGAGCAAACAAGAGTGAAGTATTCATGACAGCCAGAGGCAGAATTGGCCTTGCTTATGAATAACCACCAGAACATAGTATTTTTGCAGCATTTAAAATGCCTCTGAAACAACCCATTCCAACAAGCCAAAGCGACACTCACCCAAGGAGCTGAAGGTACCAGAAGCGTCAACGTGAGCAAATCACCGCAACATTCCTCCAAGGACTGATGACACCGAGCTACATGATTTATCAGCCGAGCATAAACAGCAGTTGGCAGGATGCGATGAGCTGCCTCTGAGGACATCTGTCCTGGGGCAAGCATGAAACTCAGATTTTGCCTCATGGCAAGCAGGTGTCTCCACAGCTTGCTGAGTTTTCCTTCAAGAGTGCTCTGTGAAAACAACAACAGCCACCACCACCACCACGAAAAAGGTTAAGACAAGAAATAGAAAACATTGAGGAAAGAAAAACAAGGTAATTATGCCAGGTGAAAGGTCATATGGCCTAGCAGAGCACCTGCAGGCATCACAGTGGTTAGGCTAACATTCATAAAACAATCTCTTGGGAACTTCAGTGGAGACATCGCACTACAGGCCTTCTGCCTTCTCTCCCCCACCACAGCTCCAAGCCATCTGTGGAGAACATGTGTTGAGGGGGCACGATCTGACAAAGCATAAAACACCACAAATTGCCAGACTTCTAGCTTCTTAAAACAAATAAGAAAACAGAGATCAAAGCCATCATCCTAACTGGACTGATTGTTTTTCCAAAAAAACAGCTGAAAGCTGGAGGGGGAGGGATTTATATAAAAAAAAAAAATCAAGCTTCTAAACAGAGTATTAGAAATGCATAAACAAGAGAATGTTTATCTTCTACCTACCACAGAATCCTGTGTCCTTTTCCTGTTTAAACCTTTGGCCAGCTGTACTAGCAATTTATTGAACAGCATGTTTTCATTTAGTAAAGACTAAGAAGACATGTCTAAGAGCAAGAGCTTGCTTTGAAGCAATCAGCATAAAAACATTAGCATGTGTAAATGCTAGGTAAGTGGGGGGAAAGAGAATGCACAGTTGTATAACCAAGGAACACCAAACATTAGATTAGCATGTGTCCTGAAAATATTAGACAAAGCATATCTACATACAATAATCTACCAAGACAAGAATGTTTAGATGTAAGTGCTCATGTGGATTTCTTTGTAACCCACATCATTCCTTGAATGCCACAACATGCATTATTTCTCTCATCTTTTATGTACAATTGTGAACCCTTCAATTTTATTCAGCATTCATTTAACATCTCCAACTGTTATACATAATTACACATTTCACAGTTGATATTGTTCTAGCTCACAGAAATATTCACAGTTGATATTTCACATAGAGTCAATTAGAAATGACACACAGATCGAACCGAACCCTGAGGGAAAGCTGGCAGGAACTGGGAAGCATCTGGCTTGGGTCAAATCATCCCTATTGGATGAAGGAGAGGAAGTTTCAGATTGCCCAAATGTAGGAGGGGAGGAAGTAGGTAACAAGGTTACAGTAAGTCACAATAACCAGTTGGAGAGGACAATGTATCAGAACATTAGTTGCATGTGGTTTGATGGGGGCACTGTGCTCAGGTGTTTCTATGCAAATGCTAGAAGCCTTAGGGTCATAATGGGAGAACTGGAATACCTTGTGGAAAAGGAGAAGCTAGAGATATAGTGGGCATTATGGAAAACTGGTGGAATGGAGCTAACCAATGGGATAAGGTCATCTCTGGATATAAACTGTGCAGAAAAGACAAGGAAGGGCATGCTTGAGGAGGTGTTGCCCTCTATGTTAAGGAGGTCACAGAGTCCAGCAAAATTGATAATCTGACGTGTGAAGATTCCTCCGCAGAAGTAATATGGGTGAAAATTCCTGGATCCAAAACTAACAAAGCCATAGGAGTATGCTATCATCACCCAGACCAGAATGCTCAGGGTGAGCTTGAGACAGGAAATCAAATCAAGGAGGCCTTCAACAAAGGCAAAACTGTAATAATGGGAGACTTCAACTTCCCACACACTGACTGGATGAAAGCATGTTCCAGTTCTGACAGAGAGGTTAAATTTTTTGATGTCATAAATGGCTGTGCCCTAGAATAGCTGATCATGGAAGCAACCAACGGGGAGGCAATCTTCGATTTAGTCCTAGGCAGTTTGTCCAGGATACAGTACAGGTTGTAAATGTTGTTGAGCTATTAAGTAACAGTGACCATCAGAATTAATATACATTTAAGTGGAAGACTGCAAAAGAGATCCAATACAGTTGGGCTTGACTCCAATAGAAGAAACTTCTCAAAAAGGAGGGAAATGGTAAACAGGAAGCTGAAGGGGGGGTTAAGAAGTTTAAAATGCTTTAAAGCAGTTGGAGATTAACAATAACAGTATAACAGACACAGTTAATATGCATACCGCAAGTGAGAAAAGGTAGGACAAAGTCCAGGAAATCACCAGCATGGTTAACATAGAATCAAGGAAGCTATTAGGGAGAAGAAAGCTTTCTTCAAAAATTGGAAGTCTTGCCCAAATGAAAAGAACAGATGGAACAGAAGCTTGTACAAGGATGCAAGCAGAACATGAGAGAAGCAAAGAAACAGCTTGGAGAAGCACATCACTAGCAATATCAAGGCTAACTATAAAGATTTTTTTTTAATGTATCAAAAGAAAACAGCTAAGGAAACAGTTGGGCTAATGGATGATCGTGGAATTAAGGGAGCAGTACGGTGGGTTAAGGTGATTGCAGAGAAGCTAAATGAATTCTTTCCCCATCACCAGAAGGTAGAAATAAACAGCAACTTCTTATGTAACCAGTGGAATTTCACTGAGTTTTGAATTATGACCACGTGCTTTTCGACCTATTCATAAATGATCTGGAGTTAGGGGTAGGTAAGGAAGTGACCAAGTTTGCTGATGACACTAAATTTTTAGGGTGGATAAAGCCAAAAGGGATTGTGTGGAGATCCAAAGGGATCTCTCTAAGCTGGGAGAACGGGCATCAAAATAGTAAATGGAGTTCAATATAAGCAAGTGTAGAGTAATGCATGTTAGTGTAAAAAATCCCAACTACAAGTATACACTGATGGACTATGACCTAGCAGTGACTGAGCAAGGAAGGGATCTCAGGGTACTAGTGGACAACTCAAACAAAATGATGACCAATACACAGCTGCTGTGAAGGCAAACTCCATGCTAAGCATAATTAGGAAACTAACAGAAAATAAAGACTATCAGATTACTTCCCCTATACAAATTACTTTGTACTTGGTATACTGTGTTCAGTTCTGGTCACCTTATCTAAAAAATCACATTACTGAATTGGGAAAGGTACAGATTAGGGCAACAAAAATGATCAGGGGGCTGGAGCAGTGAGTTGTTGTTGAGTGGCTACAACAACCAGGACTGTTCGGCTTAGAAAAACAGTCAGTAAGGGGAGGCATGGTAGAGCTGTTTAAAATAATGCACAGTGTAGAGAAAATAGATAGGGAGACACTTTTCTCCTTTTCTTGTAACACTCAAAACCAGGGCCATTCCATCAAGCTGACTGGTGAAAGGTTTAGGAAGGATACAAGAAAGAACTTCTTCAGACAGCATATAGTTAAACTATGGAATTCACTGCCTTGGGAACTGGTGATGGTCACCAATCTGGATACCTTTAAAAAAGAAATTGAACAGATTCAGGGAGGAGGCTATCAGTGGTTACTAGCCTTTCTGGCTAGGCTCTACTTCCTTTAGCAGAGGTGGCATGCCTGCACACACCAGTTGCAGAGCAGCTAGGCAGAAAGAGGTCTTGCACCCATTCTGCTTGAGGGATCCTGTGGACAGCTGGTTTGCCACCATGTGTATGGAGCCCTAGACTAGATGGAACTTTAGTCTGATCCAGCATGGCTTTTCTTATGTTCTTAATGCAGATATGTGTACACACACACAGGAAAATAGAAGGGAATTACAAGTAGTTTGCTCCAAAAAAAAGCCATGAATTAGAAAGAACCACAGCTTCTGCAGAATTAAAAAGGAAGTAGATTTGTTGAGACCTGTCTCACAAACCAAGTAGAAAACATCCATTAAAAGAAATATTTCAATAGGTTGGGTTTATCCCACCTCAGAGAATTTCTCCTTTGAATACAGGCTTGCCCAAGACTCTATGGATTAATTGTACATATTAGCCAAATTTAGGGATGCGAACTCAGATATCAATATTGTGAAACTGTAAGTAAGCCAAACTGAAAATCAAAATGATTCATGAGTACAACTGTTCAAGTACTGTAATACTCTATTTCAGCTCAGCTCTATAAAGCAAATAATACAATCAAACCAGGTAAAAGATAGCGTTGTCTGCTCACAACTGTCTCTTCTGCCAACAGCCACCAAGATCACAGCGGTACAGGGACAAGAAGGACTGTATAAAAGATGTGACCAAGGCTGAATTTTTCATGAATTTAAATATTCAACAGTAGGCATTTATTATTAGATAACACAGTATAATCACCTTTTTTGTGCTCATTCTTTGTTACAACCAGCTGAGTTGCTGAAAGACCTCTGGTAATACCTGGAAACCAGAGATTCTTTGTCTGAAAAAAAATACTTCAAAGAATCTAAGATCTTTCGTCTTCTTGGGAGTCAATAATTCACAGCACATGATCATCACTAGCACATGATAATCAACACGCCTAGATACAGATATATTTTTTTAAATGCTACTGATAACCCTGCTCTAAAAGCCTTATGACTGGCTCAAATATACTCACTCCATTGCTTCGATAAACCTTTTATTACCTACTGCAAAATCCCTAGGTATAAGCTGTGTGTGTTGCACAGGATTATTTGTTTATATTTAGGGCATAGTATTGTCTCTGCACATTGTTGGACAGCAGAGAACAGAAGAGCAATCCTTCTGGATCACACCCAAAGCATACCTGATCCAGCATTCTGTACTGACAATGGCCAAACAGGTGTCTGTGGAAAGCACACAAGAAGCACATGAGCACAATAGTTCTACAGCATCCTTCTTGAGGTGCGGTAATCAAAACCGCACACAGGATTCTAAATACATTTTTATTTTCTACACCACCCCAGTGTAGTGTAATTGATTATTGTAGCAGTAGCCAAATTATCTCTCAGGGAGGCTTATTTGCCATAGCTATTTCTTCCGTTTTTAATATCAGACTAACCTAGAATTAAATACACTGAATAGCAACCCAAAAGGATATACCTCCTTGGGGATTAGGATAGAAATAGACATTTTAATCTGACAGTCATACAATGAAATAAATGATTAAAAGTAATCTTTGGGTTCCTGTAACACAGTTAGAACACCTGCATTTGACTTCTTCAGCACTTTTCCACCTACAAAAGAAAATTCC